AATTGGTATAAATAAATAAAGACAACGCTGCAGGATTCCCAGTACGATCGGGAAATTGCAAAAAAAACATTTTAATGGCCTGTCTTATTCAAACGTCTAAAATTATAAATCATATCTCTGTGTGACTATTAGTTAAGTAATAAAGGATATTAACAGTTTTCATAACCGCCATGAACTTTGGATTAAAGTATTTAGTTCTCTTTTTCCAGTTAAAAAGAAAATGAGGTTTTCCTTGAAGATTATCTTTTCAAAATTTACAATTCGTCTAATTCTTTATAACATCCAATTATTGTTTGATAAGATTGATCAATCGTTCGAAATGAGCTTTAAAAAAAGTATCGCTTTTCAATCAGTAATGATGAACCTGCGACTTTTAATCATTAAAAACATTCCATACGTCATATCAAGAAGTTATTATAGGCCTAAAATGTATAACTCCTTGGTCATATATACCATGAGAACCCGTACGGAGACGTTGAATCTATAGATAGACGTATTATCCCTTTAATTTTTTAATAAAAACACTTTTTTTTTCTTACCTGTAAGAAAAATTAATTTCATTACTCCCATAGATCTTTCACAATCATTTAAACGATGTATAGTATGCTGCAAGTTCAAAGTGAAAGAAACGATACAGTAATTACAAAGACGAGATAAAGAAACGAGCCTTTTCTCTCTGACTGTCTCTACGTCTCTCTCTCACCAACACGCGTGAACACACTCGGTCTTTCTCTTTTATTTTATCTCTATTTGTCTCTCTTTCTCTATCTTTTTTTTGTCTATCTCTCTCTATCCCTCTCTCTTTCTGTATGTCTGTATCTGCCTCTGTCTCTGCCTCTGTCTCTCTCTCTTTCTGTCCCCCCCTCTCTCTCTCTCTCTCTATCAAATACTCTCATTCGTTGTCCCTTTCTCTCTCTCTCTCTCTCTCTCTCTCTCTCTCTCTCTCTCTCTCTCTCTCTCTCTCAATGAAGCTATGGTGACTGTAATATTAGTCTGGGGCTACAGAAATAGATTTTCTGCATGTTTGACACTATATATTTCTGTTATCTTGAAAAGGCTTAAAACATGGGAGGATCAAGGGGGCGAAGCTAGGGTCATCCCCCCCCTTTTTTTTTTTTTTAGACATTAACAAAAACTGAAACTAAAAAAATAAACGTTAGAGCTCGGGCTCCTCGGCATTCCAATTCGTGTCATGACGTTCAAATAACAATATACATCTTATACATGACAATATACATACACATTTCACTCTCTTGTCTACTTAACTGGACGTTATTCCTCAACAATAACGATGAATGATGAAACCTACCTTGAGATTCAGGGCGGTATATGCACTGGAAGTCACGTGCTTAAATCCTAACTGTTTCAACACCTGCCTGAACATCTTTGACATAGAGTTTGATCCCTGATCAGATTGTGCAGTCTGTGGTACTAGTCACATTATTCACCCATAATGTGTCTAAGCGGTATTGCTTCAGTATATCGTGTTGCAGCTCACATGATTGTCAATAAGTATGCATTGCCTGATTATATCCTTGGCTGGAGACCTACGCGACCCACAATGATTACAGAAAATGTTTCGCCAAACACCAGTATTGGCTTCAATGGTGCTACCGGTAGTTTCTGATTTGGTTCAATTGCCTACAATTTGACATGCATGGAAGCTTCTGCAGAAGTTTGCAAAAATGTTGGCAACCCTGGCCAAAAGAAATGAGAAAGAATATTATATGTATAAGTAAACTAAATAATATTATGTCCAATGTTTCGGACCTTTTAGCTTTCACGAAAATCACACCTTGACCATCAAGGGAAAAATTTGGGGAACCCCTGTGCTACAGAGGGTACAGAAAATACGACTAAATTTCAACTCACCAATGCATAAAGATGCTTAGAAGTAGATTATCTGTCACGGTGGTAGCACATCCAACGGACATCTGTACAACTGTGTTGGTTTTCTGCCTGGTCTTCAAAGGTGTTTTATCATATTTATTTTGTTTTATTATTCGGCTTTACAACGGTGCCTTTGACCTTCGTACTTAGATTGCGGGGGTCTGCTGATTAAGCATGTTTGGAATCTTCAAAATAAATATGAAATATGTAACTGCTTTAATTGGCACCGTGCTCAATGTAGCCTTTGCCTATAAAGTGTGCTTCTTAAAACTCTTTCGAATGTTCTTTTCAGCATTTCTCCCCCTTTTATATGATTATAAAAGCACAATGTCTGTGCGAATCTCAAATATCACATTTTCACCTCTGACATTTTCACCTCTATTGTTTTTTCCTCTGCCATGTTTACCTCTTTATTTGTACCCCTTATATTTGAGCTCGTATATTTGCCTCTGATATTTTTACCTTCAGCACATTTACCGCTGACACTTTTACCTTTACCCTCTTTACTTCTGAAATTATTTACCTGTATAATTTTTACAACCGAAATTTATACCTCGGACATTTTTTTTTACTTCGGATATTAATATTTACCGCTGAACCATTTCTTCCTCTGGCATTTATATTGCATCAATTCTTTCGGCTTCTTTCATGATCGTCAACGAAACGGAGTTAAGTCTTTTGTCAACTCTGTTTGTTGCTACGGTAGGCAGCCAGCGAAAACGAATCCGTTTAATCAAATTATCGAAATGCAAGCAGTACTTTATTATTCCTGTCTCTTTTTTCTGATTGAGGTATCAGTATATGAAAGGGCAGAAATTGAACTTTCTAGAAATTAATGTGATTTTCTCTTTGAAATTCAGATACCGCCCGCCAAATTATTTTTTCTTTCCTCTCTTTAAATTGTTTTTTAATCACTCGTGCGTGAAAATGCATCGTATGAGTTGCATCAAATGAAAGAAGAAGATCTGAACTTTACAAATATGTGTCATTTATTTATTTTAATTGTGATCAAGTTATGATAACACATCGATAATTCTCGGTTTTCGTTTTTTCTTGGACGCACTGTATACAGGCGCGTACACAGGGGGGGGGGGGGGGGGGGGGGGTTGGGGGGGTTACCCCCCCCTTTGGTATTTTTTTTTTGTGGTATACCCCCCCCCCCCCCCCCCTAAATGTCCCTAACCCCCCCCCCCCCCCCCCCCCCCCCCCCCCCCTTAGGATTTTTTTTTTATTATTTTTTTTATTAAAAAAAAAAAAAAAAAAAAAAAAATTCCCGTGGCTGACCTCAAAAAGATGACCTTACCCCCCCCCAGCGGAGCAAAATGTCAAATTTTCAAATTTCGATACCAAAAAAAAAAAAGTGCCCTCTAACCCCCACCCCCCCCCCCCCCCCCCCCCCCCCCCCCCCCCCCCCCCCCCCCCCGCTTATTCAGCGGTCGGCTGAGTCGTTGCGATTTTTGGGGACCAAAAAACAAAAAAAAAAGTGACCTCTTACCCCCCCCCCCCCCCCCCCCCCCCGCTTATTCAGCGGCTGGCTGAGTCGTTGCGAAATTTTCGGCCCGATTTATAAATGTTAACCCCCCCCCCCCCCTTGAAAAAATCCTGCGTACGCGCCTGACTGTATATATATATATATATACGAAAAGAAATATATTTGGATTATACGTGTTTTACGTGGTCAAAACACCACCTCCCTGTAGATGTGCCCACCTATCTCCACATTTGCCCGAGAAGAGGGGAGGCTAATAAGCCATACAGCTCGTGTTGTATATTGAATATCTTAGGACTGGTGCCGCCCCTCCCCATCTTTCCAATACCCCCCCCCCCCCCCTCCATGTGCGGACTCATGTCACGCCACTTGCACGGAGCGGCATATTGAATTGGCTCGAATTTATATATTGCTACCAAAGGCCAAAGTCCAAAGTCGACCGAAAATCTTTAGCTACAGCATCTTAGCACCAATGGGCCATGCATTTTTAATTCATTTATTATCCACTCATGGAATAGATTGCACCTGTCAGCTATGAGCTATTTTTCAAAGGGGTCTAAGCCAAGATAAAACAAGAATAATCAATACAATGTATACTCATGGTAATAGACAAATGAACACACACACAAATATAATTTACACAATATAAAAATAGACTGAAGAATCTCAACAACAATAACATCAATGGGGGAAAACATCTACAAAAAAGGAAAAATGCGTCCTTACAGGGTAAAAACGGATAAGGGAGTAGAGAAGGAAAAAAATGACGAATAAGAAGGAAAGAAAAGAAAGCCGGGGGTCTTGTATCTTTAGCTTAATAAGTGAAATATAGGGTGTTAAGTTTGTCTCACGAGAATGGTCAGGATGATGGGGTTACTATCGATGTGACGCTTAAATGCGTCAATGATGCAATGGTGGAACTAGGGTAATTCAGCTCATTCCAAATCTTGGCCCTTCGATATAGGAGACTGATCTTTTCCCGTAATTGATCTTCGGTGTAGTGAGTCATAATTCATGCGGACAAGACCTTGTACAATATACTGATTCACGAATTACAAAGATACTGCCAAGGTAAGGTGGACAAATGTTATGAACAGAGCGATTACGTATTACATGCTTATTGTTTCGACCATCGTTATAAGCAATCTATTAACTTCAAGGTAACATATCAATTATTGAAGGATACATATAATCAACTTTCATAACAATACGAAGTGATCTATTTTGAAATACTTGCAATTGACTTAATATAGGTAAGTCTTTGAAGCATTTGCCCAGACTGCGCTACAATGATCAAAATGGCATTGAATAATATTATTGATTTATAAAAAGTCAAGGCAGTGTATACTGATTAATGTTTAATGTTAAACGCACACTTTTTAAGGGATATTTACATTTAATTATTTTTTCTTTACATGATCAACTTGACTGGACCTTTTTATTTCGTTATTATCTATATACATAATCTTGTCAATCATTAATGATATGGTTAATCTCTTTAAACGTTGTTGAGTGCCTACAAACATGACTTCACATTTTTGGAGGTTAACCATTAACCTATTATCTTTTAACACGCATGATAATCTTGAAAGATCTTCATTTAGCTCGCTACAAACTACAGTCTATTTATTGTACCAAAACATTTGATGCGAGCGGAAGGTTCCATACTTCCAGTAATACCACCGGCCAACTACAGCGTAATTTCCTGTTGATCTTTGTATCTAGTCAGCAAAAGGGCGACTTTTAATCATATTCTTTTAAAAGAAGTGAGTAGCAAACACTTAATTAATCTTTTGTCGATTTCATTATTAATTGTCTTAGGATGATGCTCCTCGTCGTCCGCGGCGCAGTAACCATTGTTTTAATTTCTTATCTGTAGCACCACTCATTCTTCTCTCGATCTGTTGGTCTCTTGATTCTTGCTTTTGCCATAAATGGTTCTCTCTTCCACTAAGCAATATTCCTTTACCGTCACGCATCTTGCTCTCATTTTCCAATTCTCAATCCGAATTGAGTAAGCTAGTTTGCATCCATTGGCTTGCTATTTCATATACTTTAAGGTTCTATTTTGTCTTGATTTTTCTTTTTATTCAGTTCTTTAAACGGAAAATCCGCCATGGCTCATCAGCAGGTAATGAATCAATAATGTTTTGGCATTATTATTACTGGTGTACTATTATCATTAGCAGTAGTAATTGTAATAGAAGTAGTAGTAGGGGGCCAATGCAAGTCATATCATACGTAGGCCTGGCGTAAAGGGTACGTAGGTGAGCAGGTAGGATTTAGGACGCCTTTATACGCTTTTACTGCTTCATCGGACTGGCGTAGGATATCGTACTATTGCGTAGGCATGGCGTACGTAGTATTTCGTAGACTTGCGTAAAAATGCATACTTTCTGCGTTTAGTGTCTAGGCCGAAAGTACGAAAAATTCAACATGTTTATTTCGTATAATTGGGATATACTTGGGATAGGGTTTAATTAGGGTTTTGGCTTGGGTTAAGGTTAGGATTTAGGTAAGGGTTATGGTTAGAATTAGGGTTAGGGTTATAATATTCATGCAAACCCAACTGTATCAACCCATCGTTGGCTCAATCGGCAAGGTCAGCATACCTGATCTTAGAGAAGTGGGTTCGAATCCCAGTAATTATTCAAACCTATTTTTGCCTTTTTAAATAGTGAGGCAATGCAAATTTTTTTTATCAAGTCTAATTTAAATTGGTTGTGAACTCTTTCCAAGCCGCTTTGATTAATTAATTGAATGGCTTACCTGTGTTAAAAGAAGTTGCGTGCCGTTATCATGTATGCATATGGGGGGGGGGGGGGGTAGCGAGCTCTAATTTTTTGTTTTGGCCCTGTTTTTTCCCAGGGGGGGGGGGGGGGACCGGGCCCCATGGATCCGCCACTGGCTATGATTGCAGGAATATTGAAAGCACAACCGCTGACAGCTGGCTACTCAAATGTATTGGGAACAAATTGCTCGTACATTCATTTTATTTCATTTATATTCGTCTCATACTTCATGCATGTTAATACTGTCTGAGCCTTTTCTAAGTCTAGCGAGTCGCCCGAGGCAACTTATAAGGTCCAAATTTGGGTTTGCCCATTACCCCATTAGTGATAATACACACTCTCCTGTCTAATATGAACATTTGACTCCACACGGACGTGAAAAGCGTCGAAATTCACCCCAACTTTGGAGCAAATAATCTCCTTCTGAATGCTCGTTTTGGACCGGGAAATCGGTAAATTTTCCACATTTCAATATTTCCCTTATTTAAGCCCATAAACTTGTGTCCATGCAAGTCACAGTTCGCCGTATAAAAAACGATATATTTGGGGGAAAAGCATTGGACTCCCTAGTAGTAGGTAGTAGTAGTAATAATCGTATAGTAGTAGTAGCAGAAGTAGAAGTAGTAGTAGTAACAGTAGTAGTAGTATAGTAGTAGTAGTAGTAATAGTAGTAGTAGTAGTTATTGTAGTAGGAGTAGTAGTAGTAGTAGTAGTAGTAGTAGTAGTAGTAGTAGTAGAAGAAGTAGTAGTAGTATAAACTGTATAATAGTAGTAATAGTCGTACTATTATAATGATTATTATTATATTAAGTTTTATTGATGTCATTGTTTCTTTGTTTGTAGAGAAATTTGACAAAGGTTTTTTTTTTTTTAATTTAAACGAGAACTAAATTGAATGAATGTCATATGTATCATTCTTGTACATAATTATGCAAGGCATGTTTATTAAACTTCGAGTAATTTAGCAAAACAAGGCTTGGAAGACTTCGATTGAACCTCTAACATGGAATATAATAGTGTGAAGAATATGTATCAACATTGTTTGTTAGCTTTTAAAATTATATTCATTAAATTCTCTTCTTGACATCCCATACCCAAAACCGAATTAAAAAAAAAAGATCATTCTCGTATAAAGCAAGCACCTTATTTAAAGGTACTATGTCCCTTTTGCATGCCAAAAAATGAAAAAGTTAAATTCCAATTGCATTTGAAATATACATGTAATACTAATTTAGAACTCCCCTTTAAAAAGTGGGGCTTGAAAATGTCTTTAAGTGGGAAAATAACGACTATTAGTTTGTCAAATCGACTTAGGAGCTATAGAGCCAATAAGTAATAGTCTTGATTTTCAGACCATTTTACCGCATGGTTGTACGTTTTATGCTGCGCAAAGATTCAATCAGTTTAATTTTGGCCATTACAAGAAGTAGGTTATTGATGTTAACAAATCCTTTACAGCTCATTTTATGGATGTTATTACCAAAGAAGAAGAAAAAGCCAGTCAGTCACTCAATACTGACAATAGTGTCTGACAGTGAAGTCTAGCAAGTAAACGGGTTTCCATGCATAATTTAAATATGAGGACACTGCTAACGTTAAATTTCACAGATAGGACATACATGATATATTCATAATTCCTGCAAAGTTCTACAGAACTTGAGGTTGGCTGCAAAAGGGAGATAGTATCTTTAATAAACTTCCTCCCTCAATTCAATCAACCAAATCAATTCAAATATTGGCAAAGCATTTATTATAGTAGAATCTCCGTTCTTATTTCCCTCTACCGGTATAATTATTTTTCTTATGTTATATATGTCAATATGTCAACGTTTAGTTTTGATGACTGTTATTTTTATATATTCCTGTATTTTTGTGTATCACAAACTTGTTATGTCGTTCTTGAGGGCGTACTTGGAAGCAGTTTTGTTAAACTGAATGTACCTACCCTCTATTTTAAATAAAACTTGAATAAATGATTAAATAAATAAACATTAAACGTCAATAACGAACAAGTTTGTAACATATAACCTGTTTTTGGAATATATTTCATGCAGCAGCGGAGAGGAGAAGATGAGCAAGATGATCGCATGATTCGGTTCAGAAGGGCCTTCGAAGAACGGTCCGGACAGGTATAACCAAATCCTAATATGAATTGTAAAGAATAAGCTAATGGCCCGGTCACACATAGACGACGCACGGCCGGCGCATTGAAAATCGGAAAAATCCTTGAGCCCGACGTTTTTCAGGATTTTGGAGAAGCTAGCAAGCTGACACCGTATGCAGATATCGTGTTGCTGACGCGCTGCGCGAATACAGAGCGTGTGCTCCGCGTATGTCTGGCGTTGGTCTAGCGCGCTCCGCGCATGTCTGGCGTCCTTTTGGCGTATACATTCATGCGTCGAGCTCCGCGCACATTTTTATCCCGACGCACACAGCGAATGACGACGAATACATAGCGTTGGTCCAGCGCACTCGACGAACGAGTAACAAAGGATTACGCACACCTAACGCACGACAACGCACTGGCAAAAATTGAAAAATTTCAATGCGCGGGCCGTGCGTCCTCGATGCGTCCCCTATGTGTGACCGGGCATTTACGAGAGAGAGAGGGGGAGGGAGAGGGGTAGGGAGAGGGGGAGCCGGAATATAAAATAGAGCGAGAGCTGAGAAGAAGAAACGTTCGTGGGGGGGGGGGGGGGGACAAGACAAACAAAATAAAGGAAAGTAAAGGAGATTAGATCTTGATTCGCTTTGATTTGATTTATTTTCCCATTCAAATATCCAAATTTAGATAACATATATAAACCGTCCATGCAGATTACAATATATACTAGAAAAATGAATTATACAAGTGACGAATACTGATAAGTATCTACGAAATAAAATAAGTTAACACAGTACATTTAAGTTTGAGAGTAGGGCAACACATTTTGTTTTGCTTGATTTATCTGAGAAAAACAATCAAAAAAAAAATGACAAAACACATCATATTCACAAATCGTTCACAAGTTTATGGTGGCCTATTTCAAAAGTTTGTTGATTTATTTTTGACAATAGGTAACAACTTCTTTACGTAATCATAAGGGTGTCGAACTGACGGTAAACATGATACTAAATATCAATACTTACCTGCAAAAGAAAAAAAACCAAGAATTGATATTCGTTAAATAGAACACATCGTTAAATATAATACTACATTAAATATAACACGCCAATATCCAAAGCATATGTTACTTAGAACTTTCATTGAAAACAAATCTTGTATTTTATATAAATCATTAACTACAATAAATTTGATTATCGTTCTCTAGATTATGTTTGCCTATCGAATACAAAAAGTGTGAGGAGAAGATTAATGTACGTTGTACCTATTGATAGAGTGTGTGACCAATGTCAAAAATGTAATAATTCTATCGTATTTATCAACATAAAGCTGCAAATACCCAGCTAAGACGACACTAATTGATTATACGTTTTTATTGTGTTTTCTCGCAGGACATGGAAGTTGATGCCTGGGAACTTCTGGACATTCTGAATACTTCATCCCTTCAACGAGGTCAGTGAATTGACCCAAACCGAACACTGCGGTCTTTTATGTTCGTTGTACGCGAGGCGTCATTTTTCGATTGCGTCATTACCTCTGCCAGCGATTAAACGTAATGTTTGCAATGTTCACTTAGCATTTAATAGGGACTTTTAGATTTGCAAGTCGACTTAGTGGACTGCTACGAGTGACGTCCTTTTAAGGCTCTTGCAGTGAATTTAAAGGACATCACAGTGCCTTATAAGGACGTCACACGTAGCAGTCCACGATGTCGACGTCCAAATCTAAAAGTCCCTATTGTTTGTACGACGTTCTCTTACAAGACGCGTCAAAATCAGCACCAGTCGCTGACGTAGTCCTACGTCACTAAATAACGCCTCGCGGCAATGGGAACTGCAGTTCAGTATGTGGGTGCAAAAACACAAAGAAAACATATAGAAAACTTTTGAGAAGCAGTAAGTGCCTCAGATTGTAGAAACAATTATTATGCACTGGCGCAGCTATTACGAATAGGATCGGGACGCAAATTAATGAAAAAATTAGGACTGACCCTCTCCCACAGGTTGACGAAATGTCCAAGGCAAGGCGATACTTCGTTGGGAGTTATTAGCTGTAATGAGGGAAGGATCGGGGGCATGCATCCGTATGATAAAGTGTGCTATACAAAAAGTTTTATTAGTGATGACCGGGTTAATAGTATATTTAAAAAGCGCTTAGAGACATTTGTATTAAGCGCTATATAAAAATTAAATATTGTTATTATTATTATTTGCGACATTTGTTTCTCTGCGCTGGCGCAGCCATTACGAATAGGATTGGGACGCAAATTATTGCAAAATGTAGAACTTACCCTCCCCCAAAAGATGACGAAATTTCTATGGGAAGGCGATACTTCTTTGGGGGGTTGTTATATGCCATGGGAAAAGGGTTCGGGGCATGCTGATGAAAAAGTGTGCTTTAAACCGGGTTTTATTTGTGTTTATCCTTTTTAACTTTCGGCTCTCGGGCACTAGCGCAGCCATAACGAATGGAAAATGGACACCAATTGAAGGAAATGTTGGATTGACCCTCTTCCACAGGTTTACGAAATGTCCACGGCAAGGAGTTATTAGCTGCAATGAGGGAACGGTCAGGGGCAGGCAAATGAAACGTGTGCTATAAACGGGGGGTTTATTAGGGTTAACACTGTTTGCGACATTTGTTTCTCTGGCACTGTATAATTTATTCATTGTTTCTTGAACAGTTATAGTTTTGCAGTCTACGAACGGTTACCTTGACTTAATAACCTCATAGGCATGGGGACATTTTTAAAATTTGATACTACACTGGGATACAAGACTAATTTAATTTCTTTCAATTTTCTCACGAGAAATTGGGCCCGTTATAAAGACAAAACATTTACTTGGTTCTTGCGATGTCTCCTACGTTATTATTTTTTTTGACACACATATTCTAAATTTGATGGCATGGGAATCCAAAACAAAGCATTTGCATAAATAATGTAAGGTTATGTAAGATATTACTTTCAACAAGCATTTGTATAGGCATGGATTTTATTAAGTATACTGTATGGTATCGTCTACACAATTTCATCAGAGAAATATCTCAAAATGGCTAACTCTTGTCATTTGTGATTTAATACTTGTGTAAAGTCTTGTGTGATAGAAAATTTCGTCGTTTCTGATGATGTTTTCTTACCGACACCGGAGCATCGGAACAGAAACTACCAATAACTAACAAAAATAATATTTTTTTTTATTTTCCCTATTATTCTACAGATCTACACCATGATTATTTTAGCCTGGAGGCCTGCAAAAGTATGGTGGCTCTCAGCGATGTATCCTTTTTTTTCAAATTAAGAACTAAAAGATTAAAAGGGGTTGCCATCCTTTGCAAGGAAAAATCAGATTCTTCCAATTTATTGTTTTAAGTTTAAGTCCAGTCAAGGAACGACTATGTAAAGAGCTATTTCACATGATGTTTGGTACGATCATGGGGCATTTTGTAGGATTACTATGTCATTGACATCGTCATCCTACTCATGATCATCAACTGAATTTTTACCACCACCATCGTCAAAATCATCATCAATATAATAATCATCATTATCATTATTATTATCATCATCATTATCATCAATATCATTATCGTCATTGTCCTCATCATCATGAGTATCATCGTCACTACCATCATCGTCATCACCATCATCATGATCATCATTATTATCATCATTATATCTTTTTTAATCATAATCATCATCATCATCCTCATTGTCATAACAATTAACAATACAACGGTGCTTATAAAACGCTTTCTACCGTAGTCTCTAAGCGCTATAACAAACAAAATACAATGACAAACAATTATATATTAAATAAAAAAAACAAATAAACATACAAAGCACAATACAAATGAAATATACATCAATATGAGCAGAGTAAGTTCATCATCACAATCAATTTTGAATAAATGTGTCTTAAGTCAAGTTTTGAATTTTCAATCTGACAGTTCCTGACATGTAAAGGTAATTTATTCAAAAGTTCTGCAGAAGCTTTGCAAAAAGAGCTAAGACCATAAGAAAGAGTTATTATCACCATTATCACCATTATCATCAGCAACATCATCAACATCAACAACATCACCATCATCATCATTATCATCACCACCATTATCATCATCATCATCATTATCATCATCATCATTATCATCATCATTATCATCATCATCATCATCATCATCATCATCATCATCATAAACATCATCATCATCATTAAAATCATCATCATCATCATCATCGCCATCGTCATCATTAAAATTATCGTCATCATAATAACCACCGTCATAATCATAATCATCACTACCATCATTACCACCATCCCTGTGATAATGATACCAATATATTTGTTTCCGTCCGATGAAGAAGTCTTGATGTTTTAATATTTCCTGAACATTTATACACAGGAGGATCGTACTGGCAAGCTTGGCTTTGAAGAGTTTATGGAGCTGTGGGCAAACATTTGTGCATGGAAGGTATTTTTACATATATTTTGAATATAGACAATTCTTGACGTAGTTACCTCAATGGGCACTGATGACTAGGAACTCTCCTAGGAGAAAAGCTTGAAGATTGATAATAAACACTGAGGCCCAAGAAGTTGGACCAAAATATTTGTTTACCTCATTTCATGAAGTGATTGTGAGAATATGTTTTTTCTTGATAGATTTATTTCTTATCTGAATGTTATTGATAAATTTAAAGAGTCAACGGGATTTGATAAATACGATTCTCAGAAGATATAAACTTTATCTATCAAGAATAAATCATATTATTAGTATCTGTATACCAGACATCTGAGCAGTGGTTTCACAAAATCATATTACACTCGTTTGTAATTCTGAGAGGGCTAAGCGGTCAATATAAGACTTTATACCTCTCTTTAATATGTTGAACAAATCTAGTCATCTGATTGGTCGAAATTGGGGTCATGAGTTTAGCCATGCCTGCAAAGAAACAAACTGTCCGTTGCCCCGAGTAACGGGCATAGTTAAATTTTGCTGAGATCCCCATTGGTTTACGGGTAAAAAGTTTCTTTATGCGAGCGCGGATACCATACAGTGATTTCAGAATGATCTTAAAATCTAGGCAACTTTCCAGCGAAGATTAACAGACAGTGTCGACAGTGTCTCAGATTATCTGTGTCGTTTAACTAATCTTTACTCACGAAAAGGATAATAAGGCAAGAATTCTTTGTGGACTATTTTGTGAATTCGGTATGTAAAAAAATTATGGACTGCTTTAATATTTTCCAGTGGAAGAGGGGCATAGATAAAATTATCCGCGTATCTTTTAATATAAATCCTAAGCCATTTTTGTCAAATTAAAAAAAAAGCTGTACCCCTTTTTTCGTTTGTTTCGTGGAAATATTTGTGATAATTTACGTGCAAACGTTCCTGACTCGGAATATTCTAGCGGTGCCCTTAAAACAAGTGTTCCGTGGGGTGTAGGAGAAGAAAGAATGTTGTTTGATATTAGGCTTTTGATTTATGCTCTTTGCAGGGATTTTTCAAACGGGCAGACACTGATAGTTCTGGAATGATTAGCATTGATGAGATGACGGTGGCTTTAACCTCACTTGGTAAGAACAGGGTTTACTTTTTAACACTCTGCTTGCTTTATTTGCCTCCCTGCGCTGTACGGAGTTCGTTTGCCACGTGTGCAATTTTTCACAAAGAAATAGGCACCAATTGACAGAAAATGCATTTTTATAACACAATGGCTTTTGGAAATTATACATTTCCAGATTTGATTAGCCTCATGATTTTCCTTTAACACTGGTATAGATTAATCTTAAACTGGAAACAGTTCAATAACCATAAAACCTTTGATATATCTATCTCAAAGCAAATAAACTGCGACACAGGGAAATTGTGTGTGACATGTCAAGATTTAATATCCACTTAAAGCGGTATAACACAACTTTCCAGTAAAAGTGATCCTTGTAATACTAAGTCGATCGGAAAAGAAAAACCTATTATAAAACAGCGCAATTCCTCAATATCACTTCAAAACCAATTAATGTAATGGCATCCTTTATTCAAATTTAGATCCAATATTTAGGCGAATAAATTTATTCTGTTTGTGACTAGGTTCATGAAAGAGTATTTCAATCCATAAAATCGAGTGAATATGTATATCTATGGCCAGTACTTCTTTCTATCTGCTTCAACTTTGGGGGCACTGAAAGAGTGATTCTTTTCATGTTTTATTCCTTCAGCGATTTTCTACCACAAAACAAATGAACGTTATCTAATAGCAGACAATATGTATGAAATACAAACTTTCATTTCATAACTTTTCAAAAATAAAATGATTCAAAGTAACAAGACTAGTCATTTTAAATTTTTGTGTTAAGTACATGTACGTTTGCTTTCTAGTTTTGTTGCTGTTGTGTTTTTATCTTGCTTTTGTTATTGTTTTTTGCCTCCTTTATCTTTTTGTCTTTCTTTTAGGCTTTAAGCTGAAGAATGACACCTTTCGAGCCCTTGGTATGCGGTATGGAAATAAGGAGAATAACCTGTCACTTGCCAGCTTCATCCATGTTGCCATCAGGGTCAGATTTATGTACAGTGAGTTCCCTTTTAAACAAGCTAATTCGGAGTGGTTCCCAGAGGGGAAGGAGGGAGGGGGTGGTAAACTAGTTATACCACCTTTTCCATGCCAGAGGGGGGGGGGGGGGGGGGGGAGGAGAGTTGTTATAGGTCCGAGGATATCAATCTATCGTTTACCAGCTTTATTCGCATCACTATCAACGTGAGGCTTATCTAAAGTGATTACATTTTGATAATCGATAAAATGTATAGGGGGGCAAAAGACCTCCCCAAACCAACCTTTCCATGCCAAGAGGAAGGGGATGATGGGCTTACAGTACGGGAGGAAAAAATGGTAACCCTACCGGTGCTGTCATGTTCTGGCGACAAATTCTGGGCATCATTTCGTCAAAAATACAGAGTTTACAATAGTTTAGGTGGTTTATTGCCGTTTGGTCTACAGCCAGTTCGTCTAACTACCAGTCTATTCCCATATGGTCTATGCCCAGCCAGGCTACTACCCAAATGGTATACTAATAATTTCTTCTATATACTTGACACTTGGTCTAATGACCATGTAGGCTAATAGTAATTTGGTCTAATCTCTAATAAGTCTAATACCCATTTGGTAAATCACTCATTTGGTCTCATTGCCAATCGGTCTAATTCCAGGATTTCCTTGCGGAATTTCAAGGAGTAATGTATTAAAACTTCAAACCCATAACAAACTTTTCCATGCAGGCGGGTAATAGAAGCATATCATGCACAAATTATCAGGAAAAGGGTAATTGTAGCGAAGATACGTAAACAAATGTGTTGTCACTCCCCCCCCCCCCAGTCCAGCTTCTCTCTTTAGATTTGTTGGGAACCGTCGGGATGATTCAAATTCGGTTGAGAATGCTTGCCATTATGCGAACTCTTGGAGTTAATTTTGTTTGATTTTGTCAAACATTTGTGTTTCACACGTTATGTGTTTGCATCAGTTATGAGGCTTCAGACTTTTTAGGATGCGTTTTTTTTTTTACTTGAGTATGTGACATTTAACAGAATAAATTGAATATTTGTGACAATTTTTCCTTTGGTTTATATTACAGACATATTCGCATCAAAGAGTCGGAGCGGCAACACCAGATTTAATCTGGAAGAAGTAAGATGATTATGTTTCCAATATAATTATGACGAATTCAAAAAGGGATTATATTTGTCTGTATTCATGCCCTTTGGTGGATCCATGGAAAAAGGGCACGGGGGCCTGAAAAAATGACTGCGTCATACCGCAAGTACAAAATTATGAAAGAAAAACGTGCCCTTAATAAACATTGTGACATCTCACCCCCCCCCCCCATTCATTATTAGACCTTAAAAGGAACCTTAGAAAGTTTCTTTTAATATTTGTATCTAGTCACCGAATTTTCGAAATATTGCCACCCCGGCCAGATAATGCTGGGTCCGCAACTGTACATAACAATGCTACAGATTCGTGTCCCAGATTTATTAATATTTAAGGAATTCTTCACGTATTCTTAAAATTGTCTGTATTTTTGATCGAATGAGAGAGCCCATAAATTTGAAATTTCTGTAAAATTGACGGTATTTACCACAAGATGGATTTTGGAATTCTTCAAAGTTTCAACCATCATAACTTACCGATTTATAACGCATTCAAAGTACATTTTTATACTTTTAGCTCATAGTTTGATAATATTTTGATAGATCACAAGAGAATATTCGTAGGTTTTAATCTCTCAATCATTGTTCCTTATTTTAACATTTTCAGCTCCTGATGGTGCACTTCTACTCTTGATTTTCTGGTGCCGTGGTGGTTTGTCTGATGCAGTCGGTCAACTTCAAACAATTCAGTGATTTCAACCCAAAATCTTTTAAAAATAATTATGTCATAATGCATTTTTAGACCTGTATGAGTTCTGGCAAATATCACATGTATAAAAGGCATAATGACTACTCAGTACAGTAGCTGAGCAAAATGAAGTTAGGCCACTTGAATAGAGTTTTTGGACCCAGAGATCTACTGGAGTGGCCAATTGGACAAGTTTCAGTAGTCTGTATCTTTTTTTTATACGAGCATTTTTTAGTAGTTGGAAAGAAAAATTGTTGGAGCTCTCACACTTTGGTCCAGAATTATATACCCTTGCCGTAAGATCTGTCGCCCCTATTTTTGTTTACAGTAAATCCACAAACAAATTGATCTCTGGTTCTAATTTGGGATTATATATTGTAGTAAACTATTGAAGATTGTAATGTTTATAAAAATTGAGATACAGAAATAATACCAATTTCTTTTTTCCTCCTCTCCCGTTCTCACAATGTCTCTCCTCTTTTACCCACGCATCCCCCTCTCTCTCTCTCTCTCTCTCTCTCCCTCTCTCTTTCTCTCTCTCTTTCTCTCTCTCCCTCTCTGTCTCTCTGTCTCTCTCTTCTTCCGTTGTTCCCCTTTTCGCTTATTTTCTCTCTTTAAATTCTTCTATAATTCATATCTGATGTGTACATCCATAAGGACAATTTGGGCCACGTATTGGCATATGCTTATAAAGAGATAGGAGTCACTCGTTTTTCCGAAAGTTCGTTTTTCGAATATTCTCCATTCAAAAGGTTCGTAATTCCGAACACAAATTTCCCATACCAGAAGGTTCATCATTCTGAAAATGAAATATGGTTCGTCATTTCGAAGTTTGGTAATCGCGAAAAGAGAGAGGGTTCTATGTCATTTCAAATTGTGAACCTTCGTAATTCTGAACCTTGATTTATTTTCGGAAATACGGTTCTTAGGAATCATGAACTTTCGGAATAACGAACCTTTGTAAAAAGAACATGTTTCCGAAAGAAATGTCTTTACATATTGTATAATTCAAGCTAATGATTTTATAACAAGTAATATTTAAGTTATTTGTACTAATATACACGATATATTGTACATGTATTGTATCGTGTGTGAATATAAGTATGTCATTTTATATTAAAGTTAATGTTTAATACTGTTCATGCAGTTTTACTGTGAACGAAAAAATCCTCAAGTTGTTCTGAATGGTTGATTATATGGACTTCATGGAATTTAGGAATGGATCTGGGCTAAATCGGACTCTGGGATAACTCGGCCCGCTGCACATACGGGGGCCGAGTTGTCCCAACATACCCTAACTTGAACCCTAACCCTAATGATAAACCCTACCCAAACCTTAACCCTAAACCTAAACCCTAACCCTAAAAAAATCATAACAAATTCAATCATGCCGGGTCAATTTGCCCCCGTATTCGCAACGGGGTCGACTTGTCTCTGGGTCCGAATTAGCACGACTCTCTAGGAATCATCCAAATTGTGAAAAGTGTAATCAGTTTAACTGATCATCACGAACAATGAATATGGATGGACGCATTAGAGTACAGGAATGTGGCCCTTACAATTGATCCACTGACAATTGAAAACTATTTATAGTCATATTTGTATTCATTAGTCTGCAGGCACAGACTCTAATTCAACACTTTGACGTACATGAATTGAATTGATCTTGAGCAGGGCCTAATGCTATCAGTCTCTGGCTATGTCATGAGAAGCTATGGGGTGCAGTAGACCGTGTAGTGTTCATAGTCTCACAGTTCAGACATTCTGTTACATACTGCGACTGATAAAGGATCTTTGCCTGCAAACTACCTATAGTACATAGCCTATGGGGGTGCAGCAGATCATGTAGTGTTCATAGTCTCACATGCAAATAAATAGACTGAGAAAGCTTACAAAATATTTCTCAACTGTGGGGCGGTTTCTAGGGGAAGGTTTTTTCGGAGGTAGTAAGAATCGAACGCTCGAAACTTTAGGTTGCACGTTGTTAGTGTGTTGTGTACTCTTCACATTTAAGTTGAACATTAAAGATGAACAGAGATAAAACAGAGATTCAATATTAAGTATATTTACGAAAATTGTATCTCTTAATTATCAAAAGATGAAAGTACATTGTGTTTAAAACTCCATATCCATGATATTCATTGGTTTTATAAAATTATATATATTTTTTAGGTGTTTATATTCATGTATGGAAGTTGTTGAGATACCATGTTTATGCATATATGCTTATCATGTTCGTATACATGTAGTACAGTATGTAACACGAATTGATATTTTTTGGTGGTTATTATTATAAAAATATTGAAAATGAAACTTAAATCTTGAGAAGTGTGTACTAAATTGAACTAGTGTTGGTATATATCGTTTACGTCATGTTTTACTCCTAAAATACTTATACCTCTACTTCTACTTCTACATGTATAGCATGATACAGATAATTATGTAGAGTTGTTTACCTAAAATATATTTTAAGCTTTAAAAAAAAGGTCTGCTATCATAATCAGCAAAACTAATAGTAAAAGGTAGACTATAAAAATATCTCCCGTCCTATGTTAACTTGTATGCGAAATGCAGCATACTTTAAATACGCCAATGGCTCATTATATATTCAATTCAATTCAATGTATTTTTTTCTACAATACGATAAAAATGACAATCAGAACGAACAAAAAGAGTATAAAAACAAAGCAATGCAGTAAATGTATGAAGAAATTCAGCAACAATAAAAGGTAGATAGTACGAAATTACAACAGATAAAACATATTAAAAATGTGGAGGGACAAACGAAGCCCAAAGGCCTATCACAGGCTTGTCCCCTGAGATATATAATTACATAATGATATACAATGTTCTCAGAGAGAATTACGAATATCTAAGACACACGCATACAGTTCCACTCGCGCGCATCCTCAATAAGAAGAAAAAGGGCATAAAAGGAATATTTAATCAGGTGGTATAAGACTTAATCAATTCAAAGGGCAAACCTTTATTTCAGACTCGAGACAACTCCAAAGCTTTGGACCACTAAAGCATTCAATTCAATTCAAGGTTTATCAAAAATATATCTTCGCAGCTGTTGATGGCTGAATTGCGATATATTTCACGGCTACAAACATGCAAAATTATAAAATAAACATATCAATTACAACAAACATAGATTGGCATACATTTAAAACAAAATAGAAATTAGAGTACAAAATTACAGTTGAAGTTCTAGTTAAAATTGTTTGATATATATTCATAGCAATATATGTTGAGAGTTTATTAATCATTTGGTTTTAAAATATATAAACAGAAAACCTAATAGTTCAAATGTGAGTTTCAGAAAAAATGAGTTGTTCAAATTACATCAGGAGTTTAGTGATTATTCAAAAACATTGTACACATCTAAAGGCTAGAAGAGAAATTTCAAAAGATTATATTTTAAATTAAAAACTCAAATTTGGAGTGATGAAAGATAAGTTTGTTCATTAGAAGTACATCATCGATTTACAATATTCACATAGTAATACATAAAATGCAGTGCACAAAGTTTTTACGACAGTACACACACATACAATTAAAAAAAGGTTTTTAGGAAAGTACAATTATAGATATATTGACAAAACTTCAATCCTTAAAAATAACAAATGGTTACATAATTTTAACAATGCAATTCAAAGCAATATCCAATTTCCATTTAACAAACTTTAAAAAAAAAAAAAATGCACAAGGGTCATTATTCGTAAGGACCGCTATTCATAATCGAAGAAGTTGATCGCTATTCATAATATGATTGAGGTGTCATATGAAAGGGCAGAGAAAATAAACTTTCTGAAAAATGACCCACATGTCTCCAAATAATGCAGTTGCAAATCATAATATCACTGATGATTAACAATCCTGTTATGTTAGACAATGCAGATGGATTTATTGTCACCGCTTACAAGAATGGTTAGGAAGACAACGTTTCAATTTGTTGTCCAAAACATAATAGTTAGCCCCAAACGTATTTATAAAATATCCTGACAGTAGAAAAAAATAGCATAGCTGTACTGTCTATGCCAATATCATCTTCATATCTTTAAATCAAGTCTAAAGATTTTGGAAGAATTAAGTATTCTCTTTTGGAACATTATAACATCCATTCCCTTTATTCTATAACTAGGATGTCCTAACAACAAAGAAGACAAAAGACTTCATGCAGACTTCACGATCAGCCATGCATAAAGTCTTTTGTCAACTCTGTTTGTTGCTACGGCAGGCAGCCAGTGAAAACGAATTCGTTTAATAAAATTATGGAAATGTAAGCATTACTTTAAACAAACAGAACTTTAGATATTTCTGGCTCATTTGAATGAACCTTCTGGAAAAAGTGATTTGGTCTTTGAAAAGTAGATACGGTTCCCTAAATGACTTTTTGGTGTCCTTTCTTCAAATTGTTTTAATCACTCATGCGTGAGGTATGCATCATATGAGTTGCATCAAATGAAAGAAGAGGATGTAAGCTTTACAAAAATGGGTCATTTATTATAAATGTAATTAAGTTATGATAAAACATCGACAATTCTCGGATTAATTTTTCTAGGACGCACTGTTACCTCCGCCTGACCTATATTGGTCCCTAAACTTCAAACTTGGAACAAGGCGATTTTGACAACACTTTTTTTAGACCCTGGTCCTCATTCAGCCATTGCATAAATATTATAAATATGGTATCATTGGACAGAAATTAAGTTACTCTTTATCATGAAAGCCATTTGAAAGTCATATTAGTAATGACTCTTCAATTAAGAGCTACCAAAGTGTGGTAAATCTTTTATTAATACGCCCTGTATAGCTCAAGTTTCCTCAGTTTTTTTTTTAAATTGGTAATTTTACAATTTGTAATACAATAACTTCTCACTGTAATTTGTACACTAGCATGGATCAGTTGATAAGTAATCATCAATTAATATAACTTTCTTTCTCAGGAAAGGTGATACTTATATTATATCAACATGCTAATGTAATAGGGTTCAAAGTAAAAATGCTGCCGATTACAAAAATAAATCCGATGATTAAATATCACAAAATATTCTGGCTTTCAAAAACTTAAAACAAAGTTAGCCTAAATTTCTAACATCAATTTTGATATTTATAATGAATATATTTACTTTTCTTTTCAGATACCAGCTGCCCTAGAGGCAAGTACATGAACATGGACATTTTTAGCATTTGACATGCTTCAATAACCTTGCATTTGTATTACAATAATTTAGTTGTTTTTACATTTATTGTTGCATTGGCAATGGACATACTTTTACCAAATGGGTAATGTAATTATCCCACCTCAATTTGTTTTAGCTTTTATTTTTGCATCATTTATTAAATGTTACTTTTGTTATGTTTGATTCGGTGCCAATGTCTTCAAACAGCACATTCGGAAAAAATAATGCAGACTCTTTTTTCATTTAAAAGATTAAATATGTTTATAAATGCAATTATTTTAGATGTGCTCTTGCAAAAAAAATATACTTTCTCCTCCAGCATGCACCACCATAATAAAAGCAAATTATGCCAATGGCTGACCTAAAAAAGGTGACCTTACCCCCCCCCCCCCCCAACGGAACAAAAATGTCAAATTTCAAAATTTCGAAAAAAAAGTGTCCTCTTACCCCCCCCCCCCCCCCCCCCCCCCCCCCTCGCTTATTCAGCGGCTGGCTGAGTCGTTGCGATTTTTTTAGAAATTCAAAAAAAAAAGTGTCCGCTTAACCCCCCCCCCCCCCCCTCTTATTCAGCGGCTGGCTGAGTCGTTGCGAAATTTTGGGCCAGATTTTAACCCCCCTTCCCCCCCCCCCCCTTGACAAAATCCTGCGTACGCCACTGTTTATGGGAGTACACAAACATGTGGCATAAAAATGTGGTCCTCATTTTTAAGCTGTTACATGTACATGTCATATTTAGAATATGAAGGCATTTGAAAGCCATGCTTTGCAGGGAAAAAAAAATTCTCTGATATTTTCCCAAAGTTGCATGATTACAATGAAACGCTCTCAAATATTGTTCACATCTCCCCAAAACTCAACCTTCTTTCTAGGTACAATTCATCAGATGAATATGATATGAACGTGTTAAATCTCATTAGCTCTCATTTAACATAAGAAACAGAGGATCATGGGGGACCAACAGGCACCGATTGGGGAAGT